TTCGCTGCACTCGTGCAAAAAGTATGGCCCGGAGCCGGCGGTGGCTGCAGCTGTTGCTGCCACGCCCGCCGCCGCTGCTACGCCCGCCACCAGTTCTCCTGCAAACAGGTCTCTCGCCCTCGCTCCTGCTGGCGCGCCGTCGCCCTACCGAGACAGACTGGCGGCCTTCTACGAGCGCTACGCGCCCGCCAAGCTGAGGCAGGTGGACGCACAGCTGCAGAAGTACGCCGACTGTGAGGAGGACTTCTTCGCTGCACTCGTGCAAAAGTATGGCCCGGAGCCGGCGGTGGCTGCCACGGCGGTTTCTGCGTGGATGCGTTCGTGTGCGGATCCCCGTCAATCAACGGCTTCTGAGGCCGGCGCTGGAGGTGACATTTCCCGCGGTGCTGCGATGGGGGAGGAGGATGCCATTGCCGAACACATCCCTGACGAAGGCAGACAGCGGCTTTTGCGGGGCCTCGCGGCTGAGCTGGGCGTTGCCGTGAGGAGCCAGGAGACGCTTGTGGTACTTGCCGCCCTTCTGGACGCGCGGGGAGTGCAGGAGTTTGGGGCGGGCCCGCTGCCCGACGCGGAGACGCGGGCGTGTCGGGTGCTGAGCGGGTCCATGCGCGCGCCCTCTGCGCCGCGACGCACAGCGACGACGCAAAGGACGGTGTCTCCCTCACTTTCTGTGGCTGATTTATCGAAACTGGCTGCGGCCGTGGGGGCGGAGGAGGCAAGGTCGCGCGCCTCGCTGGAACTCTTGGCGGCGGATGACTTTGACATTCTTCTGGCGGCGCACCGGCGGGAGTTGCGGCGCGTGGAGCGGGACGGTGCGATTTCGGCCCTCCGCGCCTCTGCCGAGGCGGCGTTGCTGCGCCGGGCATGGCGGGGGTGGCGGGACACCGCCGCTGAACGCGCGAGGCGGGCGCGCCGCGGCCAGCGCCGCCAGTGGTCGCGGTATCAAAAGATGCTTTTCAGCAAGTCCGTCGCCGCGTATTACGCCCGGCTCTCGCAGGCGCAGCGAGATGCGGAGCGGCGGCGGATGCACGTGGACGCCACGAACGCCAAGGCCGAGGCACTGCGCCGGCGCCGGCTGCAGGAGACCGTTGCGGCGCACGGCAACATCGTGACCCGCAACGTCCTTGCGGTGCTGCTCGGCCGCGCGCCGGCCGCGCGCCGCCCCCGCGACCCGCTGGCAACGCCGGAGACGAACCCCGCCGCGGCGCCAGCGAGCGGCGACTCCAAGTGGCAAGAGGCCCACTCACGGCGCCTCGCTCGGTCGCCCTGCTGGCTGGGCGACGCGGCCAATACGCACGGCGGCAGTGGCAAGAAGGGCAGTCGCGGCGCGCGTTTGCTTGCCATTGAGAGGGACTTCGACAGTCTCCCTGCCACTGCACGGGCGCGCGTCGTCCGGACTCTGAAGAAGTGGGACATGCTCCCCACTTCTCCCCCGCGCCACGCCTCAAGGAGCTCCACGCGTCTGCACGCCTCGCAGGAGCGTGAGGAGCAGCTGGCGCGGCGACTAGACACCCTCGATGCGTTTGCCGCGGTGGCAGACGGGGACGCGCCCTCACCCTGCTGGGAGAGCGAGACGGAGCTGCGGCAGTACTTGACCCGCGTCCTGGTTGATGCCCTCGAGGCGGAGGAAAGAGACCTGCCTGCCGCCGCCGCCGCCTGACATACTGTGACGAGTACTAGGAACTTTTAGGGAGCCATGCTTTTTGTTTTTCTTGTGCTCTGTTGTATTCTGCCTATCGCCCTCCCTCTCTCTCTTTGCGTGTGTGTGTGTGTGCGGGCAAGGGGACGCATTTGTCCGCAGCCTGCTTGCCATCACTCCCTGGCCTGCCGGCTGCACGAGTGAAGCGGGCGCGCGAGCGCGAGCGGAGAGAAGGAGAGGGGGGATGCGGCGGTCGTCGCTCTGAACATTTCAATTTTTATTTTTATTTTCTTCATTTGTCTTTTTTTTTTTTGGATTTGCTGCGCCTCCCTTTGCTGGCACGCGCCGCGCTGTGTGCCTGCCCGCACGGACTCGCTGCGAAGCGGAAGCGCGGAACCGGCGAGGCGGAACAGCAAAACAAAACAACGGCAAAATGACAACGGCAGTGGTGGCCCAAGCGGACCCCGCGCGGGAGGCCCCAGCGAAGACGCTGCACAAAGTACGCAGCTTCACACCAGGCGTGGTGCTGGCGGATGTTGCGACGGCCCTCGTCGTGGGCGCGTCCGCCGCCGTCCCCATCTCCATCGTCGACTACAGCATCATGGCGCGGGTGGCCGGCGTGACGGACAGCAGCCTGCGTGAGCTGTGGCGGGGCACCAAGACGCTGCTGCTGCGCCCCCATCGCTTCTTCCTGCCGTGCGCGGAGAACAAGTGCAGCCTCGTGTTTCGCGTGTGCTTTGCGGTGTACACCGGCACCTACATTGGCTCGAACACCATGAAGAGCTACTGCGAGGCGAAGGGCTACGCCACGGAGACCGGCAACCTCGCCACCGGCATCACGAGTGGCTTCTTCAACACCGCCTTGACGATATGGAAGGACGGCGTCATCCTCCGCTCGCTGCCGCCGATCAACGCAAATATGGTGGCCGCCGCGGCGAAGCCCGTGCCGTGGCTGACGCGGGGGCTTTTCGGCACCCGCGACATCCTCACCTGCGTCGGCGCCTTCACCATCGCCCCAATGGTGGCGAATTGGCTTGCGCGGCACTGCTGGAACCCGGCCGAGCGCGCAAAGGCGAAGGCGCCGGGGCCCGTCGAGGGCAAAGTGCGGATCCCGCTCTCCACCGTTGACACGGCGCAGCTCCTCACCCCGGCGGCGCTGCAGTTCGTCACGACGCTGCTGCACATCACGGCCATCCGCTACCGCCAGACGTACCCCAAATTCGACATGCGGGACCTGCAGTCGAGCCTGCGGGACACGTACCTGTCCTCGACGCTGCTGCGCGTTGTCCGCATCGTGCCCTCGTTTGGGTTGGGCGCAATCCTCAACCGCGAGCTCCGCTCCGACCTGCTCGACCGCGCGGAGGGCCCCAGCGCATGATCGCGTGGCCGAAGTAAAATAGGAAAAAAAAAAAAGAAACGCTTACGAGTCGTGCACTCTCTCTCTCTCTCTC